GGAGCCAGGGGCAGCCACAGCTTCTCGGGGCAACCTGTGCCAGGGCCTCACCACCCTCACAGGGAAGGATTTCTGCCTCACATCTCATCCAAATCTCCCCTCCTGCAGCTTCAGGCCATTCCCCTTGGCCTGTCACTCCCTGCCCTCGTCACCAGCCCCTCTCCAGCTTTCCTGTAGCCCCTTCAGGGACTGGAAGGGGCTCTAAGGTCTCCCCGGAGCCGCCTTTTCTCCAGGCTGAACAACCCCCAACTCTCTCAGCCTGTCCTCATAGCAGAGGTGCTCCAGCCCGTGGATCATCTTCGTGGCCTCCCCTGGACTCTCTCCAACAGCTCCATGTCTCTCCTGTACTGGGCCCCCCAGAGCTGGACGCAGCACTGCAGGGGGGTCTCACCAGAGCGGAGTAGAGGGGCAGGATCCCTTCCCTCGACCTGTTGGTCACACTGGTGATGCAGCCCAGGACACGGTTGGCTGAAGATCATGGCCTGGAAGGGCTTTAGAACCTCCTGTGGGTCTTTCCATATATATGGCAACACAATACTCCTCCGCCCCCCTTCCTTTAGTTTCTGTATAAATTATGATTGGGGCGAGTCACTACAGTATCATTATTTTATCAGAAACTGGATCTATGATGTTGCAAAGGCAAGAATATGTTTCTAGTGCGTACCTACCCGGAAAGGGCTGTACTGCCCTAAAGCCCCTCTCCAAGACACCTGAATATGCAGGTGACAGGGTCCGCTGCCCCAAAGAAGCATTTTTTCCCCCCATCTCAGGTGGAGGTGGGAACCTGAGGGACAGGCAGACAGCTGGGGACAAAAACTCCCACAGTCACTGAAAGGTGAATTGTTCCCTCTCCTGAATTGCCAGCTTTAGGTTTTAATGCCACTTCAGAGACCTCCTCTTCTGAACTGAGCCTTCATTTATGTTCAGCATAAGCAAATCATTGTATACGTTCATCCCGATCGCAAGTGAAGTATCAATGCTGAGCTTTGTAGGAAAGCGCAGCGTGTCGTTGGGCACTTGGGAGAAGTATTAACTCATTACAGCTGAAGGGATCGGGCCGAGGAAGAGGAGTCTGGGGTGGGAATTCAGCAAGCCGAACCCGCTTTCAGTGTCGGAGAAAATTTGGCATCGCTGTTAGCACTGACAACAATCTCCCATCCTTCCTTTTTTGCATCCTTTTTTGTCCCACATTGAGTCCCTGGCGCTTTTCTCCAGCCCGCCATTGGCGCTCCTCCCTGCTGCGGTTCCAAAGGATGCTCCAGCTTCACCTTCCTGGAGGGATATCGGTATTTCAGGAAGGACGCTCTCACCACCCCCTAACACAAATAAAGCAGACACACCCCAGATACCGTCTGCTGTGCATCCTCATCTTTGTCTCCTTGTCTTTTCCTTTGCGTCCGACCTTCCTGTATTTTTAGCTTGCGGGTCCCCCTTGGGGAAGGGCCCGTTGTCCTGTGCCACCATCAGCATTTTACAGACAACAAATAAGAGTATTTTCCTCTTCACCAACGCAAAATCGTGTCACCGATTCTGAGCCTCTTCGTGCTGCAGAGTTAATTGAAGTGAGTAACGGGCTGGGTCTGCTCAGGGAGCAGTAAGGACCACCCGTCTGGGAGGAGAAGGACCACCCTGGGCTTGTAGATGTTCCTGGGTGTTGAGTCCAGAGCCCAGCTGTAGCAAGGCAGGGCAGATCTTCCAGTGCGAGGCTTTAACCTCATATTGCAGGCATCTCATTTTGTGGTGGTGAGGTTGGCAGTCTTGCAAGACCTTCTGTCTCAGCACAGAGGGGGCTCTCACTAGCCCAAGGAAAGGTAGCGGGCTATGAAGTTTCTGCAGCCTGCCTGGAAAAGGGAATGGTCTCCTTCTTCCGGATACACGCGGGTCCTAGTTACCAGTCCAAGTGTTGCACTATAATTTTTCTGTGGGCAAACCGAACTCCCCCCCCCCAAAAAAAGATTAAAAAAATATCATTGTAGATGAAAGCATAAAGTGATTTATTTTTCACAGTGGTGAAAGCTTACAGCTGAGTCCCTCAACAACCCCGGACTGCAGCATCGGTATTTTAAAATGGAAGAAGTCCTGTCGGTACTGATACTCTACCTTTGCCTTTCAGCATGCACATCTCTGAAAGCCAACAAGAATTCTTCAGAATGCTTGATGAAAAAATTGAAAAGGTAAGACACAGTAAAGTAAACGTACGTTTTCACTCAGGGAGCGGACACGCGAGTTTCCCAGCTCCCTGGGGAGGACGACCAGTCGCTCTTTGTTGCGGCGCTCCACGTTCCCCAGCACTTGGAGGGACTCTGGTCCGAGATCCCCCTTACCGCTCGTTGGTGAGACAGTTGGAGTGCAAAGATGACCAAACAGGTAAAGAGGTTACAGGAGGAGGTACAGGAGGTACCGGAAAGAAACCTTTGTTTTGTGGAAACATCACCCGGCGAGCGTGAACGGCACGTTAACCCAACGCAAACATTCAGGATATACGTGGAGAACTGGATAAAGAAGAGCAACATGAGGTTTTATGCCCTCAGTGACTTGATGTTTTTATTTAATCCTTGTGGGAGACAACTGGAATCTTAATGCCTGTAGTATCTGGGACACCCTTCTTCTTTCTTGCTGAATCTCTTCAAAATAGCTCCTGTCTCCAAAGGTTGTGAGTAGTGCGGCTGTATGTACGGATAGCCCTGCCTCCGGACCTACGCTGAGTAAAATAATGGTGCTGGAGATGTTTTGAAGAAGAGGGTGAATAGTTCTTTACATATGTAATTGTTTGATAGCAGCTTTCATATGTTTCACAAGTTTTTTTAAATGAGAATCCCAGCTGCTTTGTGAGATAGTAGTAAGTAATTGTACTACAACATAGATGGGAAACTGAGACTTGAGGAATTAAGTGGGCGATTTAGATCAACTCTAGATCTCAGCCTTTGCTTATACCTTGAGCTGATGTTCCCTCACCAATATACTCTACACTTCATATTTTGGAGTGGTGTATCTTATTTAATACTTGATATTTAGTATTTGCTTCCCCAATTACAATAAAGTAATTTGTACTCCCTAGTTGTAGTGTTGGGTTGCAGAGTAGGGGGGGAAATTTTTACTTGGATGAATTACTGAATTTCTGCCATTTTTGCTGACACTCCTGGTCTTAGGAGTTGGAGTGCTACAGTGGGTGAATCTCTTATTTGTCCCAAGCAACAAGTTTGTCGCACTACTCTAAAAAAAAAATAAAAAAATTCATGAAAGCAAAAAGTTAGCTAAAGGGGAAGAGTAGAAGTAAGGAGGAGTTTGTCGATTCCTGAGAAGAGTATTTCTAAACCAGTATTTCACAGGAGTAAGATTTTATTTAACCTATATGCATTTAAAAGTAGAATGTCTACATATTCCTAATATAGCTACATCTCCTTTCAGTAAATGCATTCACCCTATAAACATTTAGTTGCGTTTCCTGGACGTCATCACCTTCCGTAATGTCAAACACAGACTCTCCAGTGAAATGGCTTTTCCAAAGATCTCTCTTATCTACGTACCAGACCATCTGACGGCTGTATCTAATTAGGAATTGAGGTTGGGGTTTGGGTTTGGGATTTGTTTCAGGACAGTAATACCATCCGTTCCCCAGCTGCCACGTTGAGATGCAGTTGACCGTGTCTCCTCGCTGTTTGGACCATGCTCGCAGACGCTTGCAGGTGTTCTCCAGGGCTCTTGTACTAATTTATCTTCTAGATCAGGAGATTGCCTATTTAGAAGAAATACACCGTTTTATCTGTCAAAGGGAGAAGGATGGCTCCGTGCATTTCAAGCTGCTGACAGTTGATGGGATTGGCAGGAGTGAATGCGCAGCTGAACATGGGATTTGCTTTCTCTGGGGACTTCCTGTGCCTGAGGAGATAGTCTTCCCAAGAGAAGTTTTGGATGTTTTAATTAATCTTTGCCCGCAATACGTTGTTTTTCTAGGTATCCACCACAAGTGCCAAAAAGACTGGAAAATACGAGGGGTTTTGTTTGATCCCTAAATAGCGTTTTGAGTCCCTTCTCCAGGGAAATGGAGGACAGCAGTTGAACAATTCAAAGAATTTTATCGCTGAGCAGCTCACTAGTTACGGCTGAAATTGTCTGCAGAAGTGTGGGAGGGGGTTGCTGTCGTTGATGGGGTCCCAAAACATGTTGTAATGTTCACGTGGTAACCGTGGCCATGAGTAGCGTTGGATTGCTGATGGAGACACGCTGTCCATCACCGACTCCATGGGCTGTGTCTACAGAAACTCTACGGTCAGAAGCAAAACATCCCTCAGCTTGCGCTGAAATCCCACGGGGTGTTAGGTCACCTAATACAAACGAGCAATGACAACTCTAATGTGTGTGCTGTGAATTAGAGAGGAAAATTAAATGGGCGTTTTGGACTCAGCAAAATAATTAAATGGACGGGAAGGTCAGCTGAAATAAAATTTCTGCAATCAAAGTGTGAAATGGAAAGAACACAGGGTGATGTTTTAGCAACTGAAAGTATGAAGTGTTTATGAATCCTGGAGATCAAAAAAAGCCTTAATGAAATGGTCTGGGGAGTTTCCCTGACAGTCTAGTCCCTGTCGGTACCCAGCACGCGCCCGCGTTCCTGGCTGCCCGCACGAAGCTGAACTGCCTTCTGCAAATGCCACCCAAAGGTAAAAACCAGAATGTCAACCCCAGCGCACGGAGCTTCTGTCTACCAAAATTCAGT